GTTTAAGGCTCCGGGGCTTCGGGCGAATCGTGCTTCAGTTTCAGGTATTATCGGTCTTGGGGGTTGTGGAGCTCAAACTGTATGTTGTTGAACGTATCATTGCTCGTAGCTTGGGGTGATCATGATCGGACTCGGTCCCCTAAAGGTCAAGTTTGCACAACTTAATTTGAGAGTGCCGGCAGCATCGATCCCTGCGTCTTAAAACCCAATAATGAAACACCGAAGTCCTACTCCCTTTACAGCTCTCGCTCTGCATTGCACCGGAATCAGCTTGACGAGGTCCTGGCCCTAGAGATCCTCATGGCCAAGGTGCGACCGGGCCTGAGCGAAGGGCTCGAGGAAGCATGACCACCATCATTCTGACATATCGTGAGCATTAGTGTCATCATCCTCAACACCAGTATCCTTCGCAATGCCACCATGGCCACCATCAGTGCTGGAATCAACCCGCATCTTGTAGGTTGGCACGTGCNNTCTTCAAGTGCACACATGAAGCGATCGCATCTGGGCCGATCGCGAAGGGACTCTACTCGTTTGTTGGATAACCCGAAACCCTCAGCCCGAATACCCAAATCCTATACCACAAAACAAATCCGATAAAATCCCAAATCCTAGCCCAGCCCCCACCCTAAACTGTAAGCTCTATCCTCTACCCCAAAAGCACAAACCCTCATGAAGGGGTCTGGATAAGCCTTAATGAGTTGCTCGCTCAAGCTGAGGAGAGTGTGTCGTCGCACCTCACATCATACAAGGGCCCTCATAATCGGAATACACTTCCTTCAAAGGGCTCCAATGTGTTTACGCAGGAGGTTGGCCTGGGCGCCGACCACCGCGAGTGCCTGTGCCAGTCTTTTGATTAGTTGAATTGGAGACCACGTCTATTTCATGGTCTCCGAAAAGCCCCCATGTAAACGTGCCAGGCAGCTGCGGCTGATCGACGCCTGCCCCTACCCCGGTTCGACCAGCCGCAAGAGCCTTCCGTAGGTGCTGCCGTCGCCCATGTGGTTCTGTGCTCTTGAAGCACCGGTGCCAATCACTGCCACGTACCTGACGCCAAGCTGAGCGACCGGCTGCGATTGGAATGGAATAGTAGTAGTAGTAGTAGTAGTAGTAGTAGTACCAGTGGTAGTACCAGTAGTAGTACCAGTAGTAGTACCAGTAGTAGTACCAGTAGTAGTGCCAGTGGTAGTACCAGTAGTAGTACCAGTAATAGTACCAGTAGTAGTACCAGTAGTAGTAGTAGTAGTAGTAGTACTAATAGTACTAGTAGTAGAACCATATTATTTACTTTAGATGCCTATTTTGATAACTTAAGCCCTAAACCCTACACCCCTAAACCTAAAACCCAAAGCTCTAAACCCCTGAACCCTAACCCCTAAACTCTAAACCCTCCCTGCCTTAACAAGAGCCCAGTCTGTGCCGCCGAACCTGTGCCTTCACCTGCATCTAGTCATCCAGTCCTACGCCAGGTGGTCGTGCCTTCTCCAACAACTGAGCGCTGACACGCGAGAGCCATGTACTTTGGGAAAAATGGGCCCTCCTATGTTACATTGTAAGTTTTTCCGCAAAGCACCTGTGCGAATAGCCATCATCACCCCGAAATATTCAGCTTGGTTTCTTGATCTCGTCCATGTCGTATGATGTCGGATTTGGTCGGCGCTCACGTACTTCCGGAATCTTTTGTGCCCATAGCCGCAGCATGATTCAATAATATGTCGAAAAAGGAGTTGCGAAGCTTGGTTGGCTCATCGCCAGTGCATAGGGTGTAGAAGTAATGCTGATCAAGTTGCAAGTAGTCAGACCGTGGCATACATGCATGCACGAACGGAAGCCCAAACAGACACAGTCCCGCAGCTTGCTGGCCTTTGTCAACCCGAACAGATGTGTGGCCTTCCGCAACATATTGTAGTTCCTGCTTGGGCTCATTCAAATCCTATTTGACCGACGTTTCGCGATTTACCATCGCATGTCGGAGCCATGGAGGCGCATCGCAACACATCGTCGCACAGGCGCACTTGGTCGATACACGTGGGTCATAGCCTTAGAACTTTTGAACACCACGAAGATGCCCCAACTCTGACACTTGAAGGCAAGTGTTGTCTGTCGATTGTGCCGTTTTGTGCTTGGAACGTAATGTGTGATGCTGAAAAGCTGGTAGTGTGCTTCAACGCCTATGTCCCCACACTGAAATCAGGTGCTGCGCTAGTGCAACAGAAGCCAGCTTTACAGGGGGTTCGTTTCAGCTGCAAGTTCTTGATCTGTAGCCGGGGCTAGAATATTGAGATCCCCGTTCCGTTTCGCATTCATTTGGTCATGAGCAGAACTTTAAAAACTCATGAACTTACTTCCAACACCTTCGACTGCATCTGGTTGCGGTTTAAAGGCAGGGCCAGTTTGGATCATGCGTTTTGATCATCCACGCCGAAGATGTCTGTGAGCCACAATCCCGATGCTCCGACATGATTTGGTCCGCAGGCCTCGCAGGGAGAGAGAGTCAAACCATTCAAACCCCAACTCCGGTGCAACACCGAGGTGCAGGGATGGCCACCAGGACAGTGAGGGGATCGAGGCTCCAAGCTTTGTTTTCCGGCTGTGGGGTCTGAGGCTCACAGTTCCAGGTTGGGTTTCCAAAGGAGCTCAAGCGTGCCGGCGTGGAGTGGCACTTCGGGTTTTGCTCTGATTCTGGCTTCGTGTCCGTGAACAGTAGAGTGGTGTAGTAGAGTGGCTGACACGGTAGAATGCCGGGACCCAAAGTACCATGCCTCAGTGTTCAAGCTTGTTGAGGGTTTCTTCCGCGAGGTTACCAGAATAATTAGCAAAATTAGGCGATATTTTCTGCATTGTTCCTTGAGCGTTTCAGAATTGCAGACAACGAGGATCCCCAGGTAGGGCTTTGGACGTGTCGCCATTGGCTCAGCGCAGGATGCTTGTCATCAGCCTTGTGCACTTGTACATCCGCGATATCAACCATGGATCAATTCCTGGCAAATCAGCAAGTGCCCCATGTAATGCTTTCATCCCTACATGGGAGCACCTAAGCTAAGCTGAGGTTCTGACTAGGTCCCGTCCTATCCTGCCTTCGGCACAGTGCGTTCCCGATTCCCCATGTTCACAGAAATCTTTGCTGACATGTCAACTGCGCAAGCTTCCATTAACAGGCATTGTCTTCATTACAGCATCGTCAAACGTCTTCATTTGAGGAAAGGCTCCTTCGATTGAATCAGGTCTCGTGTCCTTCTCATTGCCGAAGCTTTACCAGCACAAATGTCCAGAATCAGGCCGTTCTGGTAGCAATTTATCTGGAGTCTCAGGCAGAGTGTTCAAGGACAGCGGAAGTGTGCAAGCTTCGACATGACTCACTGATGCCAGATCCACGTAACCTTCGGCCAACCTCTCTGAATAATCGCCGAGGACCCGCGTGCCTTGCACGCTAGAACTGCAGCCGTTGAACAAGCATGCAAGATTGAACTTGTCGCTGTGTGTGCCTGATTGCTAAGGTAGGCCTGCATAGATGGGCGTGTGACGGGGTGCACCATCATGTGCCCTGCAGCTGGATTGCGGATCAAAGCCCTTGTGCCACACGTCACAAACAGCAGCATGTGCCATGTAGATGCCGGGTGGCAGTTTCGACAAAACACGCATTTAAGTTCCACAGGTAGTCCAAGCAACAAGACCAAAGCTCGGCGGGTGCGGGTCGTGCAGCGTGGGCCCCATGTCTTCGAAGGTGGAGCATGACATGCAGGTGCTGAAGGACGTGCTCTGACATTCACACGTTTCCTTGCATGTCGCAGCCCCGGCAATCAAGCTCAATGAAGCGCGAGAAACCTGCTTTTAAAGTCTTTTAAACCATCACGCGCCCCACGCCATGTCGATAGTAGCTGTAAAGAACAAAAGGTGCAGTGCCCCAAGGTCTCCCAAAGCCCGGGAGGGCATTTGGGGAGCTTCAACCCGAAGCCCAAAATATCCAAAACCGTGGAGGAGATCCATGAGCATTTCGACCATCTCGAGGCTCCCAGCTAGCATTTCACCGTGACACAGGGTGTCTAGAGATCTTGTCACCACGAGTTCTTTCAAAACCGCGGAGGCTCGACTTTCAGCTCTTGAAGGTCTCGACGTCCGAGTCCAGGCAAATCGCGTAGGGTATTTCTCTTGGAGTGGATTTGGGCAGAGGAGTAGTTGTAGAGTTGGACACTTTGCTTCGGCGTCGTTTCCTGACTTCTAGGATTCTAGGACATGTGTGGATCCCCTCGGTCTGAGCTCTTCCAAGCAGGTCTTGGAGAAGATGCTGCAAATTTCTGAGACGAAAGGAAAGTTGGTGGATGTGATCAACGCAGCGCACGCATCGCAGGCACGCCACTGAAGTTGACGTGGGAGGATCTTGCGGAATCTTCCAAGCATTGACACCGCAGCTCTAAGTTCTAAGCCCACAAACCCATTTCTGCGTTCTCAGGTGTTGGAGATGGTGGAGGTGCGGTTCGTCTCCGGATCTTCAGCACCTCTGCAGAGACAAGACATTAAGACCTCCTTCTCGCTGCATAGAAGCCCGGGAAGCCTGATGCAGCTGTAAGACTTGTCGTCTCCTCGCGCTCGAGGTAGAGGAGCCAAGTGAAGCCAACGAGTTCATGTCGGAGCCAGCCAGCGGGTCCTCTACAGACTCTCAGAAGAGCAAGTCAACGTATCCTAGGCTGCACCCCAGCACCGAGGGTCCGCGTGGGTCTCGGAGCCTTGAGGAAACTTCGAGCTCAAGTCATGTGGGTAGTTCTCTAAATCAGGGCCAGGGTCCCTTTTTTAAGCGTCTCTTTTTTTAAGCGTGCCGTTCTATTTTGGGGACCTATAAAAGGGGACCCTACTTTCGAGAACTGCCCATGTCCTTGTTTGAAGCTTAGATGTGCGATTTTTTGCTGCAAGGTCCTCGGGGGGCTCACAAGAGCGAAAGCAGTGATGCCCGAACGTTATCTGAACGAGAATGAAATAACGCGACCGCTTTTTTGTGTCAAGGTATGATCCACAGCTGTCCACCCCTCCCTCGGACAAGCAACTTCGGAAGCGAATCACCGTGCCCTTTGTGGACTATGTGGATGAGAAGGTGCTGGATGTTCCTTGGCTTTGTCAGTTTCTGTGAGTTCCTCCCTGTCTACCCCTGTAACTACCCCTTCTGCCAGCTTGAAAAGTTTGACCTGAAAGATGAGAAAGCTGTGGCGGAGTCGGGTTGCAAGACAAAGACGTGCGTCGGAGTTGCTAAGGGAAGTGATGGCAGCACCCGGTGAGTGTAGCTCAGGTCCAGACGCAGGAGTACTACCGCTTCGGGGAGTCCACGTGGGACCTCTTCCTCTTCATCGGAACGGGCGCCACAGCAGAAAGCAGAATGCCATCGAAAGCCACCGTCGCTGAGTTTCCGGGGTTGAGCTGAGGTGCGCTGGGTCCGCTGGGCTCCCTCCAGACCTTCCTTCTCGCCGTGGTCAGCATGACCATGCAGATCGCCACGCGGGTTTCAGCTGGTAAGACGTCTTGCTCGGGACCTTGAAGGTTGAGCTCCAAGCATCTCCGAGCTCTAGCGTCCGGGAAACCTTCTCCGGTCTCCTTCTATTTTTGATTCTCTTCTCTCTCTCTCTCTCTCTCTCTCTCTCTCTGTTCCGCTTGGTGTTCCTCTCAGGTCTTTACCGGCATCGCCTGGTACAACTTCCTTTCGCCAGAAGTGGACGAAGCTGGGCAAATTCAATTACCTTCCATCCCTACAATGAAGTCTTGAGAAACGTCCTCTAGAATCCCATCCTAAGAAATCCTAAACCCTTAGCCCTCGAGAAACCTGCAAGCGATCAGCTATGCACGATCCCCTAATCATTCCTACTCCTTGAACCCCAGACCCCAGGCCCCAAACCCTAAACCCTGACCCCACAACACTTGGGTGGTTGTCAAAACTATGGTCCCTTTTTGGGTACCCTAAATATTAGGTGCCGTATTATATTAAGGACCCAAAAAGGGACCCTATTTTGGAGAACTACCCACTTTAAACCCTGAACCCCAAACCCTGAA